GCACGTTTTGCATCACATCTCCTTCATACTCCAGAGAGACATTACCTCGTGACATTATATCATGGTTTGTTTTAGCTTTAAGGTGGTACCTCCAGCACAAAACCCTCTAATGTGGAACTAACACCAGTTATGAAAAAGCTGGGACATTGATGCGTGAATCATGAATCCACATTTAATTAACAATGAAACACAGTAAACATATTCAGCGTTTAAAATGAGAAGGTACAATTTTGGGGGTAAAAAGGTTTTTTGTTTTTTTTTAATGGTGGCAGCAACATGTTTCTAAATAGTTGTAGGTAAAATAATTTCCATTTAACGTTAGCTTGATGCTACAAACTCCTCCGCTCCATCCACTTCCAGCAGCACAACCTCCTCAGGACCACGATGTTTACATTGTTTATCTAAAAGATACATGTCCAGTTCACTTCTTGAGTCTATGAGAGGCCTGTTACATCCTGGGGCAATAACAGCTGCCGGGACGTAATTAATTATGGGCAATTCCAACATCTGCACCACTCAAGCGGCCATGGAGTCATGATTAAAATGTGATGGAACAGGGATTTTATTAACAGCAGTGAAAACATTTAACTTGTGGAGTCTTACCAGCTTCAGGGTGAGCCCAGGCCAGAGCAACGAACAAAACTTAAACTACCTCCACTATATTTCCTCTTACCTCAAGAAAAATACAATGAGCCCAAACATGAGTTTCTCACTTCACTATGCTAATGAAAACAAGAGAAAAGGTGTCCTTAAAATAAAGTGTCAGCTCATCTTTACAAACGCGTCACAACACTATTTACAACGACGTGAACTAAGGTTGACGTCTCACAGCAGGTCCGCTGTGGCTGGAAGTGCAGAGTGGACAGAAGCCGACCTCATCACTTCCTTTGCTCGTCTTATGCAGCGCCGCTCGTCAGGCAGCCAGTCCCCGTTTAGCTCCTCAGCATCTTCCTCCAATCACAGTGGGCTACCTGTGCACTAATTAAGTTTAACACACACACACACAAAGCTATATGACGGCAGTCGCAGGCCTGTTAGGCCCTAATTTATTACAAATCCTCTCTCCTCTTTACCAACCAAACAGTCTCTTTAGTAAATAATTCTCCAAAATAATTAATAAAACACACAAATATAAAGTTGCATTTATATAAATAAGATTGTTTCTTCCTTTTGTCATTTTTAAACTTTACTAAACGAACAAAAAGACATTTAAGCTCCTACAGTTGTTAAAATAATTAAAATACTGTGGGGTTTCTGTCCTCTTCTCTTTGTTTTCATGCACACGCCCCGTGTGTCCACTTCCTTGTTGTTCAGCTCCTGTCTGTTCATCCAATCACTCCAGGTGTTTCTCATTCTGTCTCGTCAGCATTTCTGTATAAAGTCTGTGTCTTTTCGTTCCTCCGAGGTCCGGGCATTCTCACATGTTCTGCTTTAAATGTTGAACCCACGTGCAGGTAGAGACAGGAGCCTCAAAGGTAAAATAAAGATTAATTTATTTATTTTTTTGTCCAGTGCAGGATGTCGTGTTCTGTGTCTGCCCCGTCAGTTCTTGCTTTTATTTTGTAAAAATAAATTGACACTTCATTTGTACCTCTCCTGCCTCTACCTGCACATGGGTTCAACAATTAAAGCAGAACATGTCAAATATAAGTTTATGAAGTTTCTACATCGTTGCATTTTGTTTTGAATTTGACTATTTTTTTTTAATGTGCCACCTTTTTTTGGGGTTACTCATTAAAACTAAATCATTTTAAACACGAACTGTGTTAGCTCTCACTGCTACATTTATATGTGCTTTTTAATTTTCTTTTGGATGCAAAGTTTGATCAAATGTAAAAAGAACCACGTGTTCTGCACCGGAAATGAGGAGCATGAGGTGAAAATTCAATTTCACCAGCCCTCATCTCTCTGACGGCAGAAGGCCAAGTGAGTACAGGTGAAGTGACTGCTGATGCCATGGCAGTCGGGTTCATTTAGTGGTTTTGTCACTTGTCGAGCCTCTGCAGCTGCAACGGGAAAATTAATTATTTTTTTCCAGAGGTGAGCAACCGAGATGCTATTCAAGATAAGAACTGGCTCTTTTTTTCTGGAGGAGGGAATGTGACAAAATGAAATACATACTAATGAAATGTATCATTTAAATATTAAATACATCATTAAATGCACAATTAAATTGTTTCATTATTTCATTATTTATTTTTGTCACATTCCTCCCTCATGTGTCACCATGAAATGTTGTTAACTGTCAGTCTCACTCGTCAAACTCAGTGGGCGGGGCTAACGCTGATCATGTGAAATCCATTGCTTTGGTCTGAAGTCAGTTCATACGTGGACGTTCCCTCCATGCAGCTCGTAAAAGCGCGTCTTCTTCTTTACATTCATGGTATGAGAAAAGGGTTCATCCAAATACACGTAAACACAATTACCACTTCCTAAAAATTTGGAATACATTTTCTTGCCTGTGGATCAATCCATTATCTGCGGTCGATTTGTCTTCGCTTGCTGTGAGGAGCAGCCAATCAGGCGTCAGGGTTATGATTAGTCCCGCCCACTGAGTTTGACGAGTGAGACTGACAGTTAACATCATTTCATGGTGTCACTGGAGGACGGAAGGTGACAAAATTAAATAAATAAATCATGAAATATTTTAAAAGGTACATTTCATTATTTAATGGTGTATTTAATAACTTAATTGTATATTTAATTATGTATTTAATAATTAAATTATACATTTAATTGTTTTGTTTGTATTATGCATTTATTTATTTCAATTTGTCACATTACATCTTCCATACTTTTCACAGAAAATATTTGGAATCTGGAAGAGAAGTGTCTGTTAAGGCTGGAAGGATACTACTCCCATGAAGAAAACAACTGGGAGAACTGGTCAGGTGTTACGCAGAGCTGAACATTTCTGCTCGAGCTCATCTCTGGTCGCAGCGTGCATTTACGATGTCTCCACAAACGAGTCTTCACTGGACCACATGCTAAATCTGTGCTGATTAAAAACAAAGGTCTTTACTCGACTAAATGGTGCATAGCTGACCATTATGCTGTCAGTCTGAGTCCGGCTCTAACGTGCTGATGGAAAACGAGCTGATCAACAAGCTTAAACCTTCAGGTGGAATTTAAAAGGTCGACCATTTTCTGCATCCTGATTTAATTATGTTGATGAAGACAGCTGAAGAAAGTCTCTCACAGAAGGCACTGAGTCACGACTGGTTCAATGCCAGAATGTTTTTTTTTTTTTGTCTGTGAAGTTGATGCAGGAAAGAAAGATGAGCTCAGAAACCTTGTTTTCCTCTCAGATGTCATTCTCTGGATTCAAAGCAGCCTGTCCAATTAAAAAAAAGTCTTTGCAAAATGAATGTTTGATTTGCTTCACCAAGTCAAGGCTGCATGGGGAAGTTAATAAAACAGAGAGGAGCATTTTGAATGCCTCTTAAATCAACCCAGCAGACATTATATCCAGTCTTCTTTCTCTGAGCTGAAAGGGTCTGGTGTTTCACCTTGGCTGCAATGTGAAGCGTCTGCAGCTGGGGGTGGGCTTGTGTGGTGGGTGGGAGACAGAATACAGAAGTGGCAGATTAGGAAACAGTTAGGAGCTGTCAGTTGCCTCCACCCCTCCTCTATTTCTGCATCTCTTCCTCCTCACCCGTCCTCCCCCTCCGGCCCCACAGAGCAAACGCATCCGAGCCACACATCCTGATGGCGTCTCGCTCTGTTTCTGTGAAATGCTTCTTGCTTTTTTACTTCTCTAAGCAAGTGAAAGCACAGAATATTCCTGCTGATGTGCAACATTTTGTTTAGATGAGGTCTATTAGAATATGATCCTATAAGCTTCACACTCTGTGAAAACAAAGGGCTTGGCTTTTTCAAAACTTCATAGAGTTTACCGTTTTATTCTAATCTATCTATGTCTGCACCTTTTCCTCAATGAATTTGAGTAGGAAAATGTAGAAACGCATCAACAACAAAATGCATCTCATGGCACAGAACACAAGAAAGGGGGGAATAATCCAGATCATTAATACAACTCAGATCCAGATTCAAATCTAATTGAAGTCAAGTCATTTCTTATTATACAGTAATACAAAACATTCACAGGCTTTATACTTTTTGAGGAAGCCAGCAGATTGTACTGAATCTTCACTTCCTGCCAGTCTTCCACCCTGAGCAGCACGATGGCGACAGTGGAAAGGAAAAACTCCCTTTTAACAGGAAGAACCAGTAGAGGAGGGTGTCCATCTGCCTCGACCAGCTGGGGGCTGAGAGGACAGGAAGCATGCACAGTTGAACACAGAATGACTGGTCCAGGTTTCTATGGTCCCGGTGTAGTTCCAATGGTCCCAGTGTAGTTTATATGGTCCAGGCGTAGTTTCTATGGTCTAGGTGTATTTTCTATGGTCCATGTGTAGTTTCTATGGTCTAGGTATAGTTTATATGATTCAGGTGTAGTTTCAATGGTCCAGGTGTAGTTTCTATGGTCTTGGTGTACATTCAATGGTCTAGTTTATATGGTTCAGGTATAGTTTATATAGTCCAGGTGTAGTTTATATAGTCCAGGTCTAGTTTCTATGGTCCATGTGTAGTTTCTATGGTCCAGGTGTACTTTCTATGGTCTAGGTATAGTTTACATAGTCCAGGTGTAGTTTATATGGTCCGTGCGTAGTTTCTTAGTCCAGGTGTACTTTCTATGGTCCAGGTGTAGTTTATTTGGTCCATGTGTAGTTTATATGGTCCATGTGTATTTTCAATGGTCCGTGTGTAGTTTATACGGGGAGTGGTGGCGCAGAGGTTAGAGAGGTGGGCTTGTGATCCGAAGATTGCCGGTTCACGCCCCGGCCCCGACAACATCAAAATTGTGGGTGGGGTAGGTGAAACACTTGCCCCCACCCTCATTCGCACCACTCTGGGCCCATGAGCAAGGCCCTTAACCCCCACCATGTGCTCCCTAAACAGGTCTCTCTTGAAAATGAGTTCTCGTGGCTCAATGAGACTAACCTGGATAAATAAAGGCTAAATGAAAAAAAAAAAATAAA